TTCCTAAAGGAAAATCATAATGTTGCAGAAGACACAGATTTCATCCTGGGAGTAAGTGGATAGACTTGCAGTCAAGTATCTGTGCAGTACCGGATTCGCTGGATGAAATAATTTCCTTTTGAGGTCACTTGGATATATGTTGTGAAGCCCTATGAATTGTGAAAAGTTTGTATAGGACTGCTGTGAACATGAGGCTGGTGCCAACTGATACCCTGAAAATGATTAGGTTTGTGTGTAGAGCTTGAAAGAGCAGTAAATTCAAAATTTAATTTCTAAACGTTATTTTTTAAAAAACTTCCTATGTTTATTTTTCTTGATGCCAGGAATGGTTTTTGTTATCTGAACAGATGAAGGCTGCCTTTAAAAGGTGTGGCATTTTGAAGTGGGATATATGGAATGAGACTTGCAAACCTCCCTCGCAGGAGGCACAGGGGTGCAGGACAAGGTGGTAACTTTTGATAGGGTAAGACTATTTACTTTTTTTAGTGTTTCATGTTTGATCTCACTGTTAAACTTTAAGGAAAAAAAATGGAAAAATAAGTACCTCCTTCTATTAATAAGACTGTTCATTATGTTTGAATCACAGGATAATATTTTCACTTGCTTACATTTATGTATTATTCTGGAATTTCACATCGTTGATCCTCTATCTCTGGCTGAACTACAGAAAACTGATTTAACTTCAGGTCTTCAACCACTTTTTACACCTTCTCAAAACTAACTTCAGCTCCTTTTGAGGGCAAGGTTGGAGGAGGGGAAGGTCTTTCTGCCTTTAAAAAGAATCAAATCATGAGGTTTCCTTCTCTTTGAGCTGTCATCATGTTTGTTTACAAAAATTCTGGGTTAGGTAGAGAGTTGCCTTTTATTATACCTATGAAATTGTATGTGAATTTTGAAGTGGTTATTATAAATCATAAGATCAGTTTACATATCCTTAGTAACAACTCCATGAAAAAATCTTTCCCTTTTTCAAAAAGGACTTAAACTCCAGAGATACTGGTTTTCACAAATTTGTCCTAGGATCTGGCAGCTTTGTCCTGGTCAGGCTCTGACTTTACAGATGATGCCTGAGGTGTTCCAGTTGAAGAGAAGAAAGAGTTGACTGGAGTGTAGGAAGTACCACAGCAAAGAGGAAATTAGGTCATAGATTAGGTTGACATCTGAAAGCTGTGACTGGACGCGGTGGAGAACCAGTGCTTAGACTATTTATGGCAGAGGAGTAAGAAGCTGGAACTGCGCAAGAGACTGGGGAAAGAGCAGTAGTAGATGTGGATCTCCTAAAGAACTGTCTCTTGGGTGAAAAGCACTGGACAAAGGAGACAGAGATGGGGATTGAGATCAGATCTTGAACCCAGAGGTGGTGAAGGTGAACAAGAACTAATTTGGTGAACAAGGGCAGAAAAGGCAGAACCCCCCAAGGAATTAAAGGAGGGTAAAGAGAGAGTGGAGAAGAATTTGAAATGAAAATACGGACATTGTGTTTCACGGAGTCATAAGAAACAAGGGTGTGAATCTGAGGGGGTTAAACTGACTGGGATAAAATGGAGTGGGAGGGGTGGGAATTCAGAAAGAGTAAGTAGCAAGAGGCTGGGACAAGAAACATTAGGAGAGGGGTGAGCTGGAAGAGCATGTGCCTACAGGCATAGACTAGAACTCAGGTAATTTTCCCAACTGCAAGTGTTTGTGAAACCAAATGATATAACTTCCTTTGCTCCTTCAAATATTATACAGTAAAGGAGATGGCCAGATGGCCGTGTTTCTGTTCTGAAGCAATTAGGAATATTAGCAGTAAAATCCACATGAGGGAATTTTGCTGAGTTTTTGGTTTCTTCTTTGACTTGGGAGAGCTACACAGGTGTAAAATCTAGCAGCAGCAGCAGCTTCAGGAAATGCCAGAATGAAAGCTGATTGAAAAGCCTCACTTAGCCGCATCCCACAATGTGTTCTGAAGGTCTGTCGTTGCATATTAGAAGTATTTTCTGCCAAAGAATCTTAACTTTTTGCTGCAGGTTAGTTAATATATAATTAATGGGTATCTAGTTAAATATTTGTTTTTACCTCATTTTGTGTGGCTTCACATCTTATTTATAGCAAACAAGTAAAAATCCTTGGAAACAAAACCAGTTGCTGTTTATTTTGTTTTTTCCCCTTATTCTAAATCCCTATGTTCATCACACAAATGGTGATAGTATATAGGTTAGTATGTATTTTACCTTAGGCTTTTAAGATACCGTCACTTTATATGTTGAGGCCTGAGTCACCAAAGTTCAGGTTAAAAGTAGTTTCTGCTATGGATACCTATTTTCTGATGCCAATGACATAATATAATACAAGGTACTTTTTGAAGAGTTATACAGGACTTTACATTTAAAAATGTAACTTCCTTTAAGTTGCAGTTGTGGCTTTTTTTCCCCAGCATCCTGGTGTGGTGGACCAAGTGTGGTAGTCACTTAAACCCTGTTTTGCTAATATCGAATAAAAACCTTATTGTGCAGGCAAGAGGACAGAATTTAGGGTTTGGGACTACTACGTGACTGCTCTGATGTTGTACTTTGTTTTCCTACAGGCCCCTGCAAAAGGCAATCCATGGCTTGTGCTAAATAGGTGGAAAAGAGAAAATATTCAACCCAGATGGGAGCCTAAATTCTGGCATTTCCTAACTTTTGAGTGTTTGGCATAAGAAATTGAAGGAAATGTGTAATGTGGTTGTGTGTACTGAATAGGTTTGGGACATTTTATTTTAACATTTAGAAATCATTGCTTCTGTAATTTTTGTACAAGCACAGGAAAAGAGGGTGAGAGGACACTTAGATACCATCTAGTTTACTTTTTTTCCCCTCTAGATAAGGTCAACTATGTTTATGTAATTTTGGTCAAATACATGCTTTGCCTGGTTTGGTGGTCTCGGGTGACAGAGATTGTGTATCATAGCTGAATATTGGTCTAGGTGTACTATTAATACATTTGAATGTATTTTTTTATAACATCTACCTTCAATCTTTGCTGTATTTTAAGCCTGCTGCTTCTGCCTTTGGCAAATAGATCATCTTTTTTTCTTACCAGGCATCGTTTTGTCTATTTAAGGTGAAGAGTTGTTTACTTTAAAGTTTCCCTGTTCCAGCCTAAATGATAGGGAAGGAGAGTAGGGAAAAATTAAGCCTAATGTTTAGCTGCCGTATTTACTGATTTATTCTTTTCTAAGGATTCCTTTTGGAAAATGCCAAACCGGAGGTTTGCTGATGGCGAGGTGGTGATGGGCCGTTGGCCAGGAAGCATCCTGTACTACGAAGTACAAGTGACTAGTTATGATGATGTTTCTCATCTTTATACTGTTAAGTACAAGGATGGGACTGAACTTGCATTGAAAGAAAGTGATGTAAGGGTGAGTATGTGTTTATATAGTTACCAATATTTCTAATGGAAGATTGTATTGCTTTTGTGATGTAAACAAAATACAACTTACGATTGTATAGCTGCCTTGCAAGTTTTCATTCACTGTGCCTGCAAGGAATTGGTGCTAAATAATAGCTCTTTCCTACATGACATCTCCAGTAGAAGTTCAGAATGCTGACCCTATCTTTAAAGAAGTGTGATTCTTTTCTTCATGTTGAAAAACAGTGATCCATTTGGGGAAAAAGCAGTCTGATTGTTCAGGAAGCATGCCCTTTCAGCATATACTTAAAATATCTGTGAATAGCTTGTGCCATTTTAGGTCCCCCAAGGTTTCATGAGGTATTTTGCTCTATTTGAGACAATTAGGGACTTTTGAAAAATGGTCATGTCATATCTATATGTGCATGTCCCTTCCTCTTTACTTACCTTTATTATTTCATTTTCTGTTACTAATAAAGGCCTTTAAAATGTTGTCCTGGTTTCGGCTGGGATAGAGTTAATTTTCTTCATAGAAGCTGGCATAGTGCTGTGTTTTGGATTTAGTACTAGAAGAATGTTGATAACACACTGATGTTTTCAGTTGTTGCCAAGTAGTGCT